ATCTCTGTAGACTGATGCCATTTTTCTGGATTAATTATTGTGATCTCCTAAATGTAAAAGAGAAATACTGGGAAATCTCTGTAGACTGAAGGCAAATGTCAACAAAATCACCTGTTTTGTCTTTACTTTAGACATTACGCAAGAGAATCATTCAAACACTAGTTCTAAAGTGACATTGGTAAATTAGTAAAGGCTTCTACTGTTCTGATTGTCAGCTGTAGATGTGAATGAATGGAGGGAGAAAGTAGTTCCTAATACAAAAGAATTTTTAGATTCTCCGTGTTTGATTTTCTTTATATACATGAGCAATATCACACTCGTAGCAGTGAGATGTGGCTGTATATTGTCACTGGTGGGAGGCCAGTGCTGATATACAGCCATATCACACTGCTACAAGTGTGATATTGCTCATATATATATATATATATATATATATATATATATATATATATATATATATATATATATATATATACATACATATATATTTCTTTTTTTTAATTTTTTTTTTAAGAAAAAAAATGCAGTGTTATTATATTGTTTAAATTTTTGTGCCGAACCTCAAAACTGTCTTATGTTGTAAACTGCACAGTTTAATTAATGACAACTCTTTCAAATGAAAAACAATAATAATAATAATTAATGAATATTTAGCTAATTTATGCCTTTAGAATTTTTTTAAAGAACTGACAAAGACTCAATTTAAATAATAAATAAAAGAAAATATATCTGATTTGCTACATATTTTTATTAGGGTTGTGTATTGGCAAAGGCCTCACATTATGATACATATCTCGATACATGGGTCACGATACAATATGTCACAATATATTGTGATACAACAAATATTGTAATATATTGCAATAGTTTGTATTAGTATGTGTGTCATGTTATATTGACAACTTGATCAAGTCAACAGACGAATTACAATTCCAGTTTATTTTCTATCCATTTAAATTCATTAGAACTGCAGTGTGAACTCACTGAAATGTATTAAATACATATTGTGATTAAACACGTAACTAAAATGTATATGCCACTAAAGTCACATATAAATGAAATAAACAATTTGTAAACTAAAGCAAGTAAAAAAAATCAAATGCATCAAGTAAACATAAAATTGGAAGACAGTGCTCTAATATGCTGTAAACTATTTGAAACTGACTGACAGCGACTGACAGCATTGTGAACATTTTGCTGTAAAAACTGATTGCACAGGTAAATTGATGGCGTACACTAAACATTTTACATGCAACATGCCGGCCAGCTGTGCTGCTACGGTCATGTTTGACGTCTTGTGTTACAACGACAGGTCCTTCCATTTTATGTCCCATTCCTCCTATGCAGTTTTCAGTAACTCTGCAATGTTAGTTGAGTTAGACAGAAGCTTGTCAATGATGTTATCCAGTGTAGTTTGCCTCAAGAGGTTTCGGTTGAGGTCGCAGAACTGCTAATTCTTCTGTGTGGTGTCTTGTAAGTGATAAGTTGATAAGTTCGTAGTGTTTCCTGAATATTTTAAGATAGATTTGCAAAGCTGGAAATGGCATTTTTGTCTAATTCAGTACTCTTGTATAGTTTTAAAACCAAAGTGCAGCCACACGTCAGCTCTAAAAGCTGGAGGCGCCTTTATATTTTCCACCATGCTCACTTTTGGTTACCGGTATGTCTGATACCATACTACTTAGTGTTTTGTTGATAGTGAGTTACCGACATCTACTGGAGCAGAGGAGGAGGTTGTTTGGCCCAACTTAAATGATACTTCAGGTTGGACTATCGATACACTATTATGAAAGGAATTATCGCGATAGTTAGATCTATTGATATTTTTGCACAGCCCTATTTTATATGGTTTGTTTATAAGCATATGGTATTATTTGATATTTGTACAGTCGTAAAAGTTTTAAGTGCTCTTAGTTTCATAAATTAGCCTAATATGTAAAAAGGAAATAAACAATTTTATTTGTAAAGAATGTTTTATCTTATCCTTTATTTTACTATTTCGTACTTTTTGACATTTTGAGAGTCTGATTTATTTTCTAAGAGAGAGGAAAAAAGAAAAGGATATATAAATGTATATGTATTTGCTTTATTAATATATAAGTAATATCTAAACTACTAAGATAGTGTGTATGGATGTTTCCCAGAGATGGGTAGCAGCTGAAAGGGCATCCGCTGCATAAAACGTGATGGATAAGTTGGCGGTTCATTCCATTGTGGCGGCTGGGGATTAATAAAGGGACTAAGCCGAAAAGAAAATGAATAAAAACTACCAATTATTTTACTGAAGCTATTCATAGAATAAAATTTGCATATTCAAGTCTGACAGTCACACATGGTGTGTTAGAAAAATTAGAAATATACAAATGCAGTTATTGTACAGTACAAAATACATACTTATTTAAATTAAATTATTTAAACACAAACAAATTTTTTATGAGAAAAAATGTGTGATTTCTTTTTTTTATGGACATTCCGTTACTCATTGAAATTTGGTGTCCAAAGATCAGGTCGTCATGGCCTCGTCATCAACCACTGCCCAAATCCATAAATTTACAGGAGTATGGCCTCAATTTTCTTATTTGGGCTGAGGCCAGCCAGGTTTTGTAGATTGGTACAAACGACTGAAATGCCTCTCTATCACAGTATG